AGTAAAGGCAAATGTTAGTTTTTTAAAAGGCAGAATGTCAGATTTTTAAAAATATATTGTATTGATTTTTTTTACAGAGAGGAAAGGAGAGAGATAGAGAGTTAGAAACATCAACGTGAGAGAAACATCAATCAGCTGCCTCCTGCACACTCCTCACTGGAGATGCGCCCGCAACCAAGGCACATGCCCTTGACCGGAATCGAACCTGGGACCTTTCAGTCCGCAGGCTGATGCTCTATCCACTGAGCCAAACCGGTCACAGCTGGAGTGGGTTTATAATACAGCTAAGACCTGTGCCAGGAATGAATCCTTTGGTCCTTTGGTTTGTGAATATTTCCCCCCAGCCTAACCTTCCCCTAACAAAATATTCTAACATAGTAGGTCCTTGGCAAATGTTTGTTGAATTTGAGGCTGAAATGATCAGAGTCTTGACTGCTAACCTGAGCAAGTCAAGAACCAGTCCAGGAGTGGAGGTGACAATTCTGGACCCCAAAGTGTAGGGTATGCCAAACTCTGGGAGATTAAAGCGGGTAGAGGGAAGGATGAACAGAATGTATCCCCCTGTATGCAATTAGCAGGGAGTCTGAACAAATAGTGAACAACCTCACCCACAGCTGTGAAAACAAAACAACTCAGTTTTTAAAAATCTCATTCTGTTTTTAGGATACTCTTTTTCTCTCAGCGAAAGCTCAATCTCCAAAATTTTGCTTCAGTGAAATAGTGTGGACAGCTCATTAGTGCATCAAAGTCAATGTTTAATTGTGATAGGAAGGACCCAACTTTTGCCCCAAGTTCTTAGCAATAAAAACCTGGTCCTTCTTGCAATGAAGGTTGCTAAGGCATCTAGGCTGCTTGTTTTTCCTGAAAGCTTAGAGTAAGGGCTCTACATTGGATAGATTTTGGTCAGACTTGCCGACAGTCAGGGTAGGTTTTCTGTCCTACATCCTGGGTTGCAGCCAGCAGCACATCTTCAGAGAGGTTTATAAGGCCACCCCTTCCTTTTTGCCCCTCTGGGCCTATGCGTTGTCATACCTTTTGAGAGAGGGCCTTATGGCTTTGAGATAGGAGTGTAAGAGCTGGGGCATTATGTTGCTAAGAACTGGCTCTTAAGAGTCTAGCCAGAGAACCCTCCATGAACTCAGCAGCATGTGATTTGGTGATACTCTCTCATTAAAGGTGCAGAGGGAGGACAGTGAGGAAAGGCACCTGCATTTGAAGCCTGAGTTAGCTTTGAAGAGCTCTATCATTTCCTGACCAGGGTGCTAGAGAAAAGCTCTTATTTTTCTTTTTTAAAAAAACTAGTTAGGACCTTTGTCATTTGATGATTGGCTACAGGAGAAAACTGAAGCAGCAACATCACGTTTGAAGGGATTAAGTTCAGCCGAGGATTCTATTTCCCAATGAAATCCAAGCACTCCAGCAGTGCAGGAATCCCAGACTTCCTTAGCTCTGTGCTGGTTCCTCTCTATCTAACCCCTCTGCACCATGGCTTACCCTTCCCCCATCTTGGCTCAACTTCAGCCTCCCCAGCAGTCACACTTTTGGTGTGGCTTTGTTTATTCACAAGTTCACATCCCTGTAAGGGACTGGCTCCCTAGACTGTGGTGGCTCCTATATTCCAGACTTCCTCAGAGTGCAATTTTAGGCAAGGGCTCAATGGCTCTTTCATGACAAGTAGATCAGTAAAACAATAATAAAACCTCCGTCACCATAACTCAGAGGTTGTAATAGATCAAGTGCTCAAGGGCACTTGAAAAGCCAAGAGTAGACTCTTTATTCACAGAGTTTTAGGAAACCACTCTCTTTCATTACTGCTGTGTGTAAATAACATCTATTGGTTTAATTTGTTATTTTCCTACAGCCACAAAGAGGGAAATATTAAAAGAAATATTCAAGGAAGTTGGAAAGTTGGTCCATGTAAATCGTGTCTTTGTAACCCTTCTACTCTTCATTTCCTGTGCCAACTGCGCTTTTATTTCCCGTCTCTCTACACTCAGTAAACAAAACCATATTATCAAGGGAAAGACGTGAGCCCATTAACATTGTAAGCCCTCAGATTTCACTCGCAAGAGACGACGCAGCACTTATCTGATGGAACAGAAGCTTTAATTGCTTCGAGGTACAAGCCTGTCCAAACCTTTGAGATCTGACCCGTCCCTGGGAAGCCTCTGCGCCCTTGAGCCAAGTGCCTGGGAGAAAGGGTGCCCAGCACCAGTGCGTGTGCCAACCTCTCAGAGAGGGGCACAGCCATAGCTCCATCACAAGGGCACATTCTTTATTTTGACAACCTAGTGGGGGGAACCAGCCAAACTTCCGAACAAGGCAGAAACTTTATCTTCTGTCCGAATCAAAGCGGGTCACTCCAACAGTGGCTCTTAGGCCCCCACAAATGGAAGGAGTGAAGAAGCTGGAGGGACTGCTGCGAAGTGACCTGAGAACCGAGTCTGACAGGGAGAATGCTGTGCCTCCCCAGCTATCCAGCACCTACAGCATAAAATTTAGTTCCGTAATTAAGTCGGAGAAAGCGGGCGGGGGACATTAAACTTCCGCTCCAGGTTTAGGAGAGACGTAGCATTAGTGCCAAGAAAACCAAAAACGCAGCGGTCTCAGGGAAACGAGGAAGAGGAGTACCTACCTTCCCTGGAGAAAGGCTAGGGGCAGTGCCCACCGGCCGAGCTCCGTGCTCCCCTTTAACCCCTTCCACACCGCGAGGCTCACAACCTGCACCTGAGCGACTAGCCACCCACGACCCAGGCAAGTTCTCG